GGGACGCACGGGCACTTCCCACGGAAGGGAGGGAGGAGGGGGGGGAAGGCATTCACGCCAAGGAAGAAGAGTCAGCCAGAGCCGGAAGAAAGGGCAATCAAAGAAAAGGAACAGCAGCGCGCCGCCCAAGAGGCATTGGGGGGGGGGGGGGGGGGGGGGGGGGGGGGGGGCACATTGGGCATAGTGTGCGCGACCTGTTCGCCGAACTTTCGCTGTCGGCGCGACAAAAGTAGGCCGGACATGGGGAAAAAAGGGACACGGACAATGATCATGCCGGGGCTTCCGGCTTGATGAGGTCATCGTGCTGTGAGGGCCTCCTGGTCCCCCTCTCCCTCTCGCGGCCGCAACAAGAGATATGCACGAGTCCCTGTTAGGATGTAGAAAACAGCCCGGGGCTCAGCGTCTCCTTGCCCCTCCCCCCCCCCGTTCCGGCTTCACTCCTCTCTCTCTCGCTCTATTTCGCCCTCTCCCTCGATCAACCGACCGACGTTGACGCCGAAGTGGGGCAGTAGGGTGGCCAGCACGGGCAGAGGACCGACGCACGGGGAGGCCCGACAACGGGGCTCCGACCTGAGCCTGGCCCCCGTCCTTGGGAGAATGAGACTTTTCAACAGGACGGGGGGGGGGGGGGGGGGGGGCGAATTAATCACCGGCACCACCGCGGCCACCCTTGAGAGGAGGAGGTATCCTGTTAGGACGGACGACACATGGCGGCCGTGTCTCAGCCCCTCCGGCCCCCTCGGGGCAAGTCTCGCACCGCCGTCTGTGCATGGGGGCACAATTGAATGACCATGCTCCCTTCGAGGGAGGGGGTGCGGGACGGGCGGTCCCCCCCCCCCCCCCCCCCCCCCCCCCCCCCCGGCGAGAGGGATCAGACGATCGGGACAAACGAGCGTCGGGGTGTGCACGTGTGTGGATATCCTCCCTCCGGGGGCCGCTTTCCTCCGGCCCTTTTTTCGCCCTTGGTCCAATCACATCAGACATTCCGACGGCCACCACAACTGCCCCGTGTCCATGTACGTTGGAGAGCCGCACCCTTCGTGGCGGGGGTGTCGCACGGCGCCACTCTCGCGAGCAATCCCCCCCCCCTAGCCCCCCTTCCCGGGTCTGTGGGCTCCCTCTCACCAAGCCCCGAACGTATCCCCACCCCTGTGAAGGTGTGCACGGGCACCGGCGGTCGGTCCCACCGGCTGGGCAACGCACCTGCGTCTCAGTAGGAATTAGCGCCAAATTACGGCCTCCGGTCGGGGGCGGCAGCAAACTGGGCCGGCATGTCGGTTGAGAGCGGGTGCTGGGCATCGTAAACGTGGGACCTCCGCCCGACGCCCCCCCC